AAATAAGCCGACAACGGTAATTATTTAAAAAACAATGATAACATTAATTATTTATTTCCCAGGTTTTTATACTTGTGTTTTTGTTCTTTCCATTTCCTAGTACATACATGTATTTATACTGTTTTAATAAAAATGTTTATTATCTTTGTTCCCAGTTTATACACCAGTGGACTTTACTGAATCCATAGCCTATGCAGTGCCTATATATTGACATTATGAACACATTGTGAATTGTGTACGCAATGTAGCCTGCTTCATCCTTTTCTGTTGTAGCTTCATTTTCCGTCTTTTTCCAAACATATCTGCTGGGGAACAAAATGCATTAGTTTTTGGGAAGCCTCCACAAACCCAAATGTGAAGCATGATTGTACTACTACTACTACTTTGCTCAAACTGCTGTAAGCACTCCTCCTTTCAGTGTCAACATTAACAAAAGGAACAATAGTGGTGGACTGCAAATATTTTTAATTATAAAATGTGTCACGACGTGGTGGAATCAGATGTTCGGCAATTTTTGGTCATATTGGTGTCATCTTAAAGCCTCATGTTCATTTGCCTTGCTTTTGCTGAAAAAAATATCCACCTATGTTGAACAGAAGTCAAAATATTAGCGATTGAAGAAAGGTCAGGGTTGCCTGGTTTCAGCAGAGGTGATATGAGTATGAGCGAAAAAATGGCTGCCAAAGTTTGGTAATTTCCATAGCTTTATAGCCTACAAAAAAAAAAAGAAGTGAACAACCCAAAAAGTCATAACATGTAGGTCGAAAATGGGCCTATAAGTTAAAATCTCGTGCGCTATTAGGTAATTTTCATCACAGAATCCAAATATCTGAAGTAAAAAAATACAATTTAATGCAATTTTGATTAAAATGAATTTCAGCTTTCTACATCCTGACTGTGGTATTTTTAGAATTTCCGCCCCTAGACCGCAGAATGACGATTCGCAGAGAGCAATTTTACAGCAGCGGTCAAAATCGTGAAAGGCGGGCTGTGAAAGGGTGGGGATTATGATGTGAAGTCAGTGCGACGCCGGATATAGGTTAATAACTTAAAGAAGGCTTCCGTCACACCTGCAAGTTGGGTGACAGAAACAACGTGAAAACTTGGAGAATGTGAAGCCAGTGCGTTTGCAGCCTTAGAAGACTAGAGTAGAGGTGCTAGCACCAACCTACTCTCGGGGTTATAAAAATACATTTTTACTTAATATTTATTAAAATCGTCCATGAGATGTAATATTGGACCCAAACCAAGATCCATAAACTATCTATGCCATTGTTTTAACTAAGAACGTTGGTAAGTCTCTCTGTAAGAAGCTAGATAATGATAGAAACAAAAGAATGAGGTACAAGGAACCAGAAAACTCGTTATGTCAACCTTTCAGGTCTGTGGTGACGTTTATTGAAAAATACAAGTTTACTGAAAGGTAAAAAATATTACACGTACATGTAGCAAACTGAAATTAAAACTTACACTTTGACACTGGCCTAAAAAAGCAGAACATACAGAAGCCGTACATTTTATTTTCATTAAAAAAAACCCTGAAATATAAAACAAAGGAGTCTTCTCAAACTTAAACTCAAATAGTGATGAATGTCAACGTGTAGAGATGGAAATGTTATGCTTGTGGCAAACTTCACTCTTGAAAAGTTTTTTTCTCATCTACCTACCTCTTTCAGAAACAGAAAATTTTATCTGTAGGTTGAACACATTGTGGATTCTCTTCATCAACATTGCCAGTTTGCCTAACAGTCACACAGAACAGACAAAGGAGTAGATCAGCATCAGCACACAGTACTGTACTACTGTGAGCTCTGTGCTTGTAGTAGTCTAGAGATGTGAGGAAACCCATTGCCACTGTCTTTATGAAACACATTACCTGCTTATTATTCATGTAAACAAGTTTCGCAGAGACAATAGGCAAGGACATGATCAACCTAAGGTGGCATGACAAATGTATCCCTAGACTTGCCTTACTATACACAGTGTGCAGGTCTTTGATATCATTAATAAATATATGATGAGAAAAACTTAGGCAAACAGGACACTGGAGATACTGCAGTCGACATGGGTGCATTCTTGAGTCTCTTTCTTTTATTTCAATTTCTCATTTCTTAAAGCGTGCAAGACTTGATGGTCTGCATTACTTAAGAAGATTTAGATGATATAATCCTCAAAATTCTGTTCTGTTTAGAAATGGAGAGCATTTCGTCTAAAAGCGATAGTTTTCTCAAAAAGACAGAAAATTATTGAGAATTCTTTCTTTCATTTAACTGCTGTTTTTTAATTAATATATTATATATATATATATATATATATATATATATATATATATATATATATATATATATGTATAAAATATCACGTGTGTGTATATATTATATACATTGTACATGCATGTTTTCGACAACTGAACTCGCAGTTCATTATAAACGAGAAGTTAAAAAAATTATGCTGCCTTTTTGTGGTAATGTTCACGAACACAAATTTCAGAACTCGTGCATCCACAAGCCCCAGTGGCTTATCCCCTCTTCTTCAGGTGCCCACCCACCGACCAAAGAAGTCAACGGAACTGAACGTAATTATCTGACAAAAAAGATAACCGAGCAGAAATCTGCTATAGATTTGTTTTGCGGTGGTTCTGGGCCCACACATCATGTGTAACAAAACATACATCCACAAAAACAGATGCAACAACAAGTTCTGTTGCTATTTTTCTGTTGTCCTTCGGTAGGGGAGGATAATTCTCAAAGATTTTCAAAACAAGTTCGCTCTCACAATAAGTGAAATCACTTTTCACCGAAACTCAAAAAAAGCGTGTGCAACAGTTTGTGTCTATACATATATATATATATGTGTGTGTGAGAAAAAAGAGGCGGGGAGAAAGATGGAGAGAAATGACAGAAAGGTAGACAGACATGTGTTGTCTGAAAGAGAGAGACAGGAGAAAACAGGTGAAAGAGAGAGAGACGGGTGAACAAAAGAGACAGAGTGAAAGAGAAAGAGTGCGTGTTTGTATGTGTGAGGGAGTGGAAGAAAGAGAAAGGGACAGAGCGAGAGAGAGAGCGAGAGAGAGAGCGAGAGAGAGAGAGAGAGCGAGAGAGAGAGAGAGAGAGCGAGAGAGAGAGCGAGAGAGAGAGAGAGAGAGAGAGAGAGAGAGAGAGAGAGAGAGAGAGATTTAAAGAGACAGGAAAAGACAGAAAAAAGAGACAGATACAGAGTGTGTGTGTTGTGGTTGTGTGTTCCCTGTAACTTTTTCAGTTGTGTGCTGGCTCCTGGGGATTTACAATTACAGGCAGAACACTCTGACCAGCATGGTTAATAAAGCCCAAAATGTTCATGGTCTACAGGTGGAACTTTTTCCAACGTAAAATGTGGATGGCCTGTGGGCGGGCAGCATTACTGAAAAGAACGTGCACGTTCTGACAAAATATTTTCCATTGCAAAACATGCAGGGAAGAAGCAAAACAGAAAGACAGAAACAACAGAGGGAAAGAAAAGTAAGACGTACTAGATCCGTCCTCCAACCGCCCACATAGTTTGTGGGAGGAGAGCCTCAAAGTTAAAATAGTTTTTAAGTGCAGGACGAAGACACACTACCGCTAAAAATGCCAAAAAAAAAAAGGGAAGAGCAGAAGACTGGCTGTGACAAGAAATCAGGTAGACAAGAAATAATGCTGTGACGCATACATTATTCATACAAAATATCTTCTCCCCTACAAATCATACTACTGCAGTGGCCTGGCAAAACCAGATAGGTTGCACTTTCAGAGTCAAGCAATGGGAAAAAAAATAATTTCGGGTGACATTTTACAAAACAGGTTTGAAATGCAAGCAATACCGGTATATGTCATTTTTCAACACTTTCAACCAAAACCAAAAAGGTTCTTTTATAAATAATGTCTTTCTGTTAAAGGACTGGTAGGCCTAATATGGGGTGCCCACTACGGCTGGATTGGGCCGATCGCCCGACTCGGTCACCTGAAACTGAAAACAAACATGTTTGTTATTGAGGCGACAGAGTCGGGCGCCCTGATCGGCCGATCCCATCCATAGTGGGCACCCCATGTTACCACCTCATTCCAATGTTACGCAAGCTGTTCACTCATCCAACCACCAGGGTAACAGTAACAGTAGACAAGAACATAAAATATTGGGCAAGAGTTAATTACACAGCTGCAAAGGAAATCGACTGGACAGGGGAAAAAAAAAAGACATTTGAATTGTTTCCTATGTAATAAGGCTTAGATAGAAATGCATACGTTTTTGTCTGTTCCATCTTAGATGAAGTAGTTCTCTAGGAATATATACAGTCCATGCTGGCTTTAACCACGGTCATCGGGAGAAAGCGTAAGCGTGCTTAAAGCCGAAGCGTGCTTGAGTGCGAAGTAGACATAATCCAGAGATTTTCATGTAGAAAATGTCCCGTGCTATTTCCCTTTGTTTGTAAGTAGGCCTATAGCGGTCTCGCAAAAGTGTGCACTGTTATTTTTACCCTCCATGGTAGTTTTTGTTTGCCTGTTTGCTTTTGTTTTGTGGTCGAATGGGAAATGAAAACTTAATTTAGATGGCCAGTCACGATACAGCACACTAGGCCAACACACTGCCTGTGCGTACCACTGCTCGGTGTGCCACGTTCATACCACCGCCTTCATCCCACCTTGCACATGATACACAATCAGGATTAATGGATAGCGAGGGTCAAAGGTGAAATCGCAGCCAGCCTCCCTTACTCATCTCCCTGACTCTCTTTGTATTTTTTTGTCTGTGCGTTGCTTTGCCCTAGGCTAGATCTTATGTCCACGCGCGCGGCTGCATGCATCTCTCTGTCTTCCTCTCCGCGCATGTGAGTGTGTGTCTCCATCACTTATGTTCTCTTTGTTTCTCTTAACACACTCCACTGCTGCAGTGTAGGCTGTGTTCGAACTTCGATGGGTCATCAGAAAAGTATCGACTGTCTTGTAAATGAAGCGTGCTTGAGCCGAAGTTACCGTGCTTAAAGACGTGTAATTTATATAGCAAAAATTCGGTAAGAGCCGTTTAGCATGCTTGAGTCCGAAACGTGCTTAAAGTTTAAGTAGTTAAAGCCGGCGTGGACTGTAATGATCAAATAAAAACAAAAAGTCTTGAACGTTCAACATCTCTGATAAGTACGGGATTCAGAAAATACTTGTATCCCAAAAATGGCAGCAAAAAATCAAATCAAATATATTCATACTTGATTTTGTATTGCACAGGAATTCAGAGAATGCTAAAAAAACACAGATGGAGCAAAATGCTTTGAAGTAGACAAACACCTACCCCCCCCCCCACCAAATAATAGTCAATAATAATAATGATAATAATACATACAGACCCCATCCCAATATGGTTAAAGGAGCTTTATATAGTACTGGCAACCAAACAAAAATTGAATGTCAGTACATACAATGTACAAGTACTGTACATAACCGTGCCTGTTCTTGCAGACACCCCTCCCACACACTCTCTAACATACACACAGTATAAAATTCTAGATCTCAACTCCGAGTCAAAAGGCCATTAACACACCACATATGTTTGGAGAGGATGGCAAAAATTCCGGTTTGGCTTCACAACTCACCCTAAGACTAAAACTAAAATCAAAAGATCAATAATTATAATTGCATGTATTACATAATATAAAATTAATATAAAATGACACAGGACTTTATAACAACCTGGAAAGACAATGTTAATCAAGTAACCAATGGAATACAGTAAAAGTCCCTGAAAAGTTTTCTTCATTTAACTACATGTAGACTAAAAAATTCATTTCTCTGTGTCATTAACTTTTGCAGCACATTTCCATGTACATTTCAGAAGGAGAAAAGACTTTCTCTGATTCCGACTGACAAAATGCACAAAACGTGCACCAAATTTCAACTGTTGCTGTGCTACAGTATTGCTAAGACCCTCTCAGTCGACGGTCTCCTTCTAATTTATAGCATGTCGACAATGACAACTGGAGTGGCTAAAGATTAATCTTATTTCCCCTTCTATAGGAAAACTGTTGGGAAAGCAGGGGTAGGACCTATGTGTCTAGAATGGCTACTAGAAACTGGGCGAGGACTCTTCCTGTGCCTTGATCATATCCTCCACCATCTGCTCGATGCCGGCCACACTGCCCACATCTGTATCCGTGACGATGTAGCCCAGCAGGCGATGGACATTCTTGCACAGTTTCTCCACACGCCCTTCACTGTCGGTCAGCATTTTGCTCTTCAGATCCAGCTTGGTGCGCAGTTCCACTAACTCTTCTGCTTCTGAATCACAAGAGAGCTCTGCTGGGTCGGTTTGCACTTGGGCGTGCGGCATAGTTCTCTCAGACACGTCTGGTCCACCAGTGTCCCTGTCCGAGTCTTGGGGCTGTGTCTGAACAGTCACATCACACACACTTTTGCTGCTACCACACACCGAAGCGTTTAGAGAGAAACTGGTCTCCATTGCTTCCAAGTCAATGTCTGTTTGAATACATTTTGTGCAAGTAGTTTGCTTTTCACTTGTGACATTACTTTTAATAGACACACACGTTTTTTGACCATCACTTTTAGAAGAGTCATCACGAGACAAACCACTGGAAGGTGTGCAGGAACTACAAGCATCGGAGGCTTCGACAGACGTATTTGTGACTGCTGGACTGCCTGACACAGGCTCCTTGTCCCAACTATCTCCATTACCTCTTTCCCCTACATCAGACCCACAGTCCATACTTACATCCAAAGTTTCCCTGCCTTCAGAGTTTCCATCGTCGGCTACAGCGTCATCTTCACCACAAGTCTCATTCTCAGCATCAGCACCTCTCATGGCAGACTCTAGGATTGCTTTGTAAGCCTCTGTAGCTTTAGAGGTCACCTCATCGTGTTCCATCAGGGACAGGGAATCGTTCCTCCCCGACTTCTTTTTGACCGTTTCATCATCAGAGCAGCATTTTTCCTCTGAAGAACTCTCTTCCAAAGCCTCATCCCTATCCACTTTACCCTCCTGATCTTCAGGTTGCGCATTAACAGTTTCCCCAACTTCATCTGCCCTCACTGAACTATGAACCTTTGCATTTTGTCCCTCGTCAGGACCACCCGACGTTGCTATTGTCCCATTTTCGTCCTTTAGAGTTTCTACATTGTGCCCATCCTTTTTACCTGAATCTTGGAGAACCCCCAGTTCCGTCCCTCTCTCTTTATTATCAACCACATCTCCACCATCAGTTTCTTTGCCTGTTTTACATGTGTTATTTTCTGCAATTTCCTTATTATCAGACAGTCGAGAATTCGATCCGGCTTCATCTTTCTTTGCATAGGCATCTTTCACAGAATCCTCCTCATCACATGAATCTATCCCAATACCAATGTCATCGTCGTCAAAATCCTCATGACCTCCTCCACCACCTTGCTCTGGCTCCTTACTCTCCGAGACCTCTCCATCAGCCTTGCTCTCAGTACCAGCTGTTGAATCTTTGCCTCCATTTACAGCTTCCATCTCCATCCGTTCTCTGATCGCTGCCATTGCCGCCTCCAAATTCCCCTGAAAACTGTCAGGGGCTCCCATCTTGAACTCGGGATCATCCTCAGACGGCCCAAATGATATAGTGTCTGATGTCTCCTTTGAATCTTTTGACTTGGTGGTCGGCTCTGGACTTTTGGTCACCTTATCTTGCCCATGGGCCTGCTTGGGCGATTCCTCTACTTCCTTCTTTAGGTCCACGAGAGCTGTCTTTTTGGTCCCAGAACTGTTTGGGGTTTCTGTTGAAAAAAGTAAAATCGCTGAGAAGGTAATTCGTTGTTTGAGTAAAAAGAAGCACCTCGACACACTAGCCGTCATTTAGCACAGAAAAAAAGTAAGACACACAGACAGAAACAACAGAGGGAACGAAAATAATTTTTTCCAAGGGTAAAATGTTTCTAATTTCTATATAAAATTTTTGGCCAGCTCTATTCGGACTCGGGTCAGATCAGATTTTTTATCGATTCGGACTAGAGTCCCGATTCGGACTAGAGTCCGAAAGGTTTTATCTATTCGGACTCGGGTCCGAAAAAATGATTTATTTATTCGAATTCAGCTTCTAAGTGAGTTATGCGAGTGCAAGAAGGTTACATAATATAACTGTGGTCGGGGCATTTTATGTAAAACCAGAATGTATCATAGTTTTTCTTTCTTTCTTTTAAAAAAAAAATTACATCGCACAAAATCAACAGCCGTGGCTGACCAGTCAGTAACATTTTAATGGGCCTAACAATGGCAGTCCTAAGGTTGCGATTGCCTCTGGTCGGGACCTCAGATGGGTATGGTTTGTTTTCTTCATTTTGATCACCTGTCTGAGATGGACGCTTTTCTTCTCGATAGTGGCTGGCCATCTTAAGAAATTCTGACTGAAGAAACATTTAGAAACAGGAAGCAAAACTTGACTTCAGAAAAAAACAACCCATCCACTTGCTACCTTAGTTTCGTTTTAGTACAGGGTTTTACGGTGCTCGCAACTGCATAAGGTCATATGAGCGCCACTTGCAACCTAAAAATATAAAAGAACAAGATACCATGAATGAGTGCCCTTATACCATAAAAACTGCAGGGACATTTAAGTTCACCTACTGGAAGATCGTTACAGTAGAACTAAAAATAAGTAAAAAAAACCCTAACAAAACCCTTTCATTCGGTTACAACTAAAATTTTGCTTATTTATGGATGCAAAGTAAGAAACACCTGCTGGATATCTTGAGATGCTCAGGTGGGAAAGCTGAGGCCAGAGGATGGATCCCCGGAGTCCATTACAGAACCAGACTATCTTCCAATCTCTTTCTCAGTGGCTATTCTTCCCTCAAGAAGGTAAACGAGGAGGAGAAAAAGGAGAAGGTGGAGGAAGAAGAAGAAGAGGAAACTGGGAAAAAAAAAAAAGAAAAGGAGGAGGAGAAAAAGGAGGACGAGGAGGAGAAGAAGAAAAAGAAGATGAGGAGGAAGGAGAAGCAGCAGCAGTGGTAGCTGATACTTACCCTTATTAGATATTGCACGGTCAAGGGTATTTCGGTCTGGCTTAATGTCCTGGTTCTGAGACCCATTGGATTTGAGGTCTTCAACATTTGGCTTTACGTCCCACTGCACATCTTCATACAGAGAATCGTCCGTCAAGTCTAAGACCACAGGTTCTGGGCCTGCTGAGACCTTGGCCTGCTCCTGCCTACGCCGTGCCCCAGGGGTTAATGTAGCTGCAGGGGTCAGGGCAGCTGCAACTTTCCTGGAATTTTCCGGAGTTTTGTGGAGAGGTGGGGTACTCGTAACGCCTGCCTGGCGTTGACTGTGGTTGCGCTGGAAGGATTGTTGAGCACCGTTCGATGTACCCAAACCTTTTAATGCTGGTTTGGAGACTGAAGGTTTCTGCCCTGAGATGGAAGCAGCAAACTGTTTGTTGCTCCTAGGGCGGTAAGAGTCATCTTCATCTTCGTCATCAAAAGTGTTTTCAGTAATAGATATCTCTTCACCAGATTCAGTCTTAATGCTCATTTGTCTGCTTCCTTGGTTGAAAGCTAGTGGCTGTGCTCTTCTTTTCGGGGCCGCTGGTCTAGTGCAGTGAAAAGAGAGAGAGAAGCAGAATAAACATGACGCGCTTATTTCATCTTGACAATGATTTACACAATCAATCACAGACGACAAGAACACTGAAATTTAGAAATCATGGACAGCTCGTACAATTTGCCATTTTTTGACTGATATCTCTTTAATTTATCGTTATCCGTCGACCTGAATTATGGTGGTGTTGAACAAATTTATCAATCAACCTGTTTGAGTTATCTCTGCACCACTATATCTGCTGCTGTGAAAGATCAAATACTAACTTTTTCAAAATCGATATAATCATTATTATTACTGCTGTGTCCACTAAATACATGCTCCTTTACTTCAATGCTTAAACTTCCCTTGTATTTGACATAAACCAAGCGCAACATTGAATGAGTATTGCCTTTTCCAATCTGCACTATTCATTTTGTTTTGTTTTTAGCTCCACAATGTTTGAAGAAGTTTTGGGTTGTTTTTTTTTTCTGAACAGTTAAGGGGAAAGAAAGTTTCTTATGACTTTTTTTCATTGCTACATCAAATCAGACAAAACTGTAACATGTAAATGTTTTACACCCTGATAAACATAATCTAAATTGATAGAGTGGGAGGCTGCTTCAACCCTGCCTGTTATGGAAGACCTGGGCTGTGTGCTACTATAACCTGGCAAAAGACAGGGATACATCTAGATATTAGACAAATGTCTTCATTTCCAAGTATGAAGTATGATTTAGTAAGAATTTTACGGGGCTTGCAGCCCAAATGGTTATATATGTGCCGAAGATTAACTCTTTCCAGACGTTGGTCTCGACATAATTAACTTGTGGCTCGCTTTGGCTATGCAGGTGGTGTACAAAATAACTTCATAGAAGCATAACCATAACTCCAAACGTAACATAGGATATATAAAATTGAAGGAAATTGAATGAAAAATACATCCTAATATAAAACAAGGTTTTATTTTTAACATAAGCATGCATTAGAAGGGTTAGAAATGGCGATGGTGACGTGAAAAATAAATATTGACGGAAAAAATTACATTCACCAAACATGTGAAAGCAAATCAGCATAGCTATCTTATCATGTACAGGCCAAGAGCATAATCAATAAATTTCTAAATGCAAAATTTATACTGAGTCCGGTTACATCGTTTTGTTGATGCAAGACGGCAAGAACTAATTCACTTGTTTTTCCCCAAACCCACGCTTTGACAAAGTGAAACTAGATGTTTTCGTTTCCTTAATCCTTTCCGAGTTTTTCAATAGCAATAAAAAGTCATTATAAATGACGGATCGCGTTAAAACGAAACAATACTGAAGCACCATATCACAGCCGATATAACGGCGACACGTCCGCAAGGGGTGTGTACTCGCACTGATATATCAGCGATACGTCAGGAAAGAGCTAAAAGTATTACAAGAGAGTAACAATCACAAAAAAGAAGGAGGAGAGATTAAGGACGATGGGTGTTTGATAGGAAACACGCACATTAACACAGAGCACCCACAACTTCAAGTAAGAAGCAGAAACACAAAAAAGCGGAGGTGAACAATCTATTCAAAGTGACCAAAGCACAAGAACGTCATCTGAGCAGTGAATAAGGTAGGGTAACACTGAGAGAGCAGAAGACAATTCTAGGTGGCTTTGGCACAAGATTTAATAGTAATGTCAAGATATCAAATGCTTCACCACACCCCCGACAAAACAATTTGCATAATGTAGGAGGCCAGTTGCTTCCATTCCGCTAACAGGGGCAATATTGTCTACGGTGAAGTAAGAAAAGCCTGGTGTATTTTGGCCATGAAATAGCCCAGGAACAATTAAGGGTGAGGATTTTTGCTTTCAGTTTTAGTTTTAGAAAGAGTTTTACGGCACTTGCAACACAATAAGGTCATATAAGTGCCGAAGATTAGAGCTGTTACAAGAGAGTAACAAACACAAAATAGAAGGAGGGGAGATAAGGACGATAGATGTTTGATAGGAAAGAAGGAGCAAACCACACCAGAGTACCCGCCAACCACCCACTTTTGCTTTCATTGCAGACCTTGATCTTATTAACTCTTTATCTCCAGGGGTGGGGGGGTGGGGGGGAGAACCCACTATGCCGGGGTCCTTTTTTGCTACGAAATCTAAAAGCAGTTTGCCAGAGATAAAAAGTTAAAGCCTCTCATTTTCCCAGTTTGATGCATGTGACTTTTCAAGTGGGGTCCTCATTCATCACCTTGAATTGGATATATGCAGACACTAACATCGTAAAATCTACAATTTGCAAAGCTAAACAGAGTGAATAAAGTATTCTCCACAAACTACCTTGTTGGTTCCTTCACATTTTTTATTTATTCAAAATTTAAGTTACACTTGGAGGCTCTAGACCCTTTTTGGGTAATATATTTCCCCATATGAGGGAACGATCTCCAGTCTTTTACATGCAAGGTGATGATCCAAACTATTAGACAGTAGTAACTAAACTGTAAAAGGTGGACCAAGTTAGTAAAAGCAAGTTAAAGAGAGATACCAGAGTTTGAGGTATATAGACACAGTAATGGCTATTGAGTGCTGGGATAAAGAGATACACGCATACAGAACGACAAAGGGTAAGAGAAGAAGTACAAAAGGACCTGCCAGTGACACTTTATGACCAATCGTGGACACCATTTGACTAGCCCATAAGGTACAAGGACGTCTTTACCATGGGCTGAGTATGAACAGACGGAGCCAGATTACATTTAAGTAAAAAAAACCCCCCCATAAAGTTAGGAGAGAACAGTAGACCTAGAGAAAAGGATGAGGAATCTGGACGGGAAGTAGAACACAACTGAACATACGATTGTAAGGGGGAGTTGATGCGTAGAACCAGTGGCCACCTATTGTCCTACAATAATGAAAAGAAAGGACCTTTTTTGTTCCCAAGAAAAGAAGAAAAAATGGATGCATAGCATCTACCATCCAAACAAGAAGAGACCAAGGTATGCTATTGAGCAAAACAAAATCAAACTACACATTGTCTAAATCATAGCCTGTTTCAATTTACAAACACGAAACTATAGATTTAAAAGAGTGGGAGACAGGTTCTTACATTGTTAACAACTTAATCTTAAAAGATAAATTTTATAGTTTGAGATTCTCTGTTCACTCTTTTTACTTACTTTTCTGATTTTGAAGTCAAACTGCCCAGCAACTGTCTCATCTGAGCCATTACCTCCTGAAAAAAACCAAACAACCCAAAATGCATATATGTGCCTCCCAAGCCTTAGTATTGTAAGAGAACTGAGGCAGTTTCCTTGTGTAGGTCACAAGATGAAATAACAGCCTTATGAAATATCTGTACATATGAGCCTATCCAAAATGTTTGTATTTCTGAGGTGCTGTACTCTTTGCAGATGGATTCACAGGAAGAAGGAGATGGAACCACTCGTATCTGGTTTAATGGATCCAGCAAATTTCAGTGATAAACAGAAGAAAAGTTTGGTAAATGGGCAAAAGTTGCCTTTTTTGTAATAAAAAAAATATCAAGCTTGACAACAAAATGCCACAAACACCACTTTCAAAGTTTACCCAAAACTAGTACGAGAAAGGTGAAGCACATTCCATGAATCAACTTCCTTCTTCAAAAAATGCAATTTCCTCTCTTTAAATAACTGCAGAAATTTAAAATATTTATCAACTTTCCAGCTTAAGTTTATTATCCGATTACCTCCTCGTATCACCTTGAAAATAAAATCATTAAGTGTAGACCGCAGCCAACTCAATAAAAAAAAATAAAAATTGACTGTTTAAGAATTAAGGATGGTGCTATGCTTCACAATCTACCTTTTGAGAAAGACCAATACCCATAAAAACAAGCTGTACCGTGGGTCTAAAAAGCTAATCGTCTGTAGCTTAAATCAACTAAGGGATTGCAGAAGTAGAGGGTGCGGCCTTACTGCTGTTTTTTGCTGTCCGCCTTTCACCATGTTGTCCGCCATCATCTGCAGTCTGCCCTGCAGTGAGTGGTGCTCTTCCTCCACTTGCTTGCGCTGCTCTTGCATTTGCAAGATGAGTCTTTTCTGCTGATCCTCACGCCGCCGTGACTCGGCCAGGGCCTTCTGCACAGACTCCATGGCCCTGTGGTTGTCCCGAGGAGCAACAGAAACCTGCTGGAACCCACATGGTTGTTTGTTTGAGAAAAGATGTTCAGTTTTTGTAAGCGTTTTACAGTACTTGCAATACAATTAGGTTATAAAAGTGTCAAGATTTGAGGAGCAAACCACACCAGAGCACCTGCCAACCACTCGCTTGAATAAAGAGAAACATGACATGTTTATGGTCATTTAGAGTAGAGAAAAAGTAGTAAGACATACAGACAGATAGAAACAACAAAAGAGGGAAAGAAAAGAAGAAAGACTCACTAATGGCACCCTCCAACTACCCACGATGAACCTAGAGAAGGCTCAAAAGTTTGTAGCATTCCTTAACAGACGAATGTAAGGTACACTCTTGTTCAACCAGATGGGTTGACATAACTGAGAGGGGTAATAAGACTGACCCGATTGAAGTTGGGCAGAAATTCAGATCTAGGCCAATGAACACGTACCGAACTGATCTGAGCATGAAAAAAAAAATATCATCTTTGCTCTGCCTCAAATCAATAAGACATTATTCCCAACGTAACTGATCTGGAATAAATAAAGTACCAATGAACACCACCTTTGGTCAGAGTAAAAGGCATGTGCTATCAACCCCGTTAATTTTGTATAGCACAACTCACTTTGACCAAAGTCGTCGGGTCTGACTTTTGAGTTCGTTGAAAGAAAAGTGTGACTAAAGCACTAAGGTGAACATTTTTTATTGATAAAGATATGGACATCTGTTCTGAAGTTGCCAACGTGAAAGTACAATATCAAAGAACCATTGGTACCCCAAAGTGGTTGCTTTTACGATAGTTACTTCTCCTTGGGGGGGGGGGGGGGGGGGGGTTTGCTTAAACAGGTGGTCATCAGTGAACTGTGAAACAAAAATGGAAGTTTGTAATAAATATAAAAGTGATTGGCACATAAGGTTTTACTATTTCAGCATTTCCACTCACCTGCCCAGATACTCTTGCTTGTATATTCTGAATAGCTCGTAGCTCTGCCTCTTTCTTATTCAGTTCTCTCTCTTTTTCCATCATGCGCCTCTTCTACAAAGATCAAAACACAAATTAAAAAATAATCAATCAGTAGAAAGGACAATAAAAAGTAAGTATTTAAAAAAGTTTTAGTAAGCATTTTAAGGCACTTGCAACACAATTAGGTCATGTAAGTGCTGAAGATCAGAGGTATTTTTAAAGGGTAACAAACACAAAAAAGAAAAAAGATAAGGACAATTGATGTTTGATAGGAAAAAAGGAGCAAACCACATCAGATCACCCGCCTAAAAAAAGTATGCATGATATAGCACAGCAAGTTAAACGACAATAGCAAGACGACACTGAAATGTAAAGTGCTTGCTTGAAATAAAACACCCAGAATACACCAGTCTCTGCATATACAAGGGCTGTCCCATGGAAAACCGCAAAAGGTCCATAAAAGCCACAATCTTTGTCCTGTAATAATAAAAATGTAACACATCATGCCTCAACATGAGCTTTATTTCTCAAGGTAATCACCATCCCGCTGGACGCTTTTTTCCCATTGCTGGATCAGGGAGATGATACCCACCCTGAAGAATTTTGTGTCAAGGGATTTCAACCAATCTTTCATGGCTTCCACAAGGTCTTTGTCGTCTGTGAATTGCTGTCCAGAAATATGGCGTTTCATTGGTCCAAAAAGGTGATAATCTGACGGGGCCAAGTCAGGACTGTGAGGGGGGTGTGGCAGAACTTCCCAGCCGAACTTTTGGATCCAGTCTTTCCTATCCAGTCTTTCGTAGTGTTTGCGATATGTGGCGTTGCATTGTCATGCTGCAAAATGACACTGCTGGACTACCCGCCTGGTCTTTTCGGCGCACAACCTCTCTCAACTATCAAGAGTCTGGCAGTACCTGTTTGCATTAACAGTTTGTCCTGGTTCCCGAATGTCAAGAAGCAGAACACCCTTAGCATCCCAGAAAACTGTGGCCATGAGCTTCTTCACCGATGGCTGAACTTAAAACTTTTTTGGGGGAGGTGAAGACGTGTGCTTCCAAACCATTGAACTCCTCTTCGTCTCAGGGGTCAAATGGTGTATCCAAGTCACATCACCTGTAATAAAGCTTCTCAGGAATACTTCATCGTATTGTTGGAGGTCTCCAAAGGCATTCATGACTCCTGTGATAGCTTGGCGACAACGATTCAACAAAGTCTAAGACACTTTAACATGTTGCGTCTTGTGGGACCAATCGAGCAGAGACCTTTCGATAGTGCAGCTCATCAAACACTATCCTCTGGACAGTCGACTTTGAAATGTTAAGCGAATTTTTAGGCGCCTGTATGTTTGAATAAGTTCGTTAACGCGACTCTGGTTGTCCTCAGTCTTGGAAGAAAAACAAGGTCATGGGTGAACTTTGTCATTGACATCCGTATGCCCGGCTTTGAACTGACTACACTACTCATAAACCCGTGACTTTGCCATTACTTTCTCTCCATAAACTGACTTTATTTCAGTGTGTATTTCTATTGGTTTAAGACCTTTTGCGGTCTTTGGAGAACTGCTGTGTTCGTTTGGTGTGTGCGATGCTCATGGTGCTCAATCTGGAAATTCCTTAATGATTGTTTTACAAGTGTGTGTTTACAGAATGTGAAAATATTGAATAGTTTTCCAAGTCACAGCCAAATTCGGGTTTTCCGTGGGACAGACTTCGTATACACATGCAGTAGGACATGAGGCTTGGGTCATAAAAATCAACCAGAGTCAACAAATTTCAGGCCTGACCATTGACAAGAAAATAAGGTTTTGCACAGGGATGAACTAAGCAGAACTGAAATTTGTGAGCTGTAGAGAGCATTCATTCATAAGATTAAGAATTACATTTTATTTTCCTCAATACGGTTGAACCTGCTGTAGTGGTCACCTCTCCATAGCAGTCATCTGTACTGACTGCCACTGTTACGTGACACCTATGTCATTTTTCCCAATACTTTTAACAACCTGTTCATATTAGTCCCTGTCCAATGCAGCCATGGTTGGTCGTTTTTACAGAATGTCATCCTCAAAACCTGCTCATAGTTGTCTTTATTACAACAGATTTCTGCCAACCCATCCACAGACTGTGTACGTGTGTACACTCAAGCATGGCAAAGAGGCTCGTATGACAGATGAGTAATTTTGGTGGAAATGAAAAGGACAGATAAAACTGAGATTTTAGATATTTATTAACCCTTAAAACCCTGAATTCTTTTTTTTCATACCTCCCTAGAATCCTGAATTAAAATTGAGATACTAGAAAAAATTAGGTTGGTTCATTGTTTTATTGACTGTGTCTTTAATTGTTGTTAGATTTTACTGAAGTTTGAAAATGTTATTTATATATGAATGCACAGTCTGAACAAAAGGGGAAAAGGTTAAAACACTGGTTTTTAGGACCAACTCTATGAGTTAAGTAGACCTGCATGTGAGCCTCAACCAGATTGTCTGAAAATTTTGTGCAAGCTTCTGTGGGTGTCATAAGGAAGGACTTCAGAGTAACGAGCAACCACCCCAACAAACACAATAAAGAAGAGACCTAACCCTACCCCTAGGCCTACCCTAAAAAAGAACCTGCAACGAGCCTCATGTAAAAAGGCCAGCACAAGTCCAAAATTTAAAAAATTTAGAAATTAAAAAACCACACTCCAAAATAAACAAGGCTTACAAGGAGCATAATATGGCCTACATCTAGATTCTACATATTGTTAGTATAATAGAGTTTGATACAATAACACAATAGAATTGGAATATGAATCCTCCTTATAGATCCAGTAATCTAAATAAATAATCTAGCTCTAGATCTAGATCTTGTAGAACAAGCGAATAGGATCTAGGACTAGGAATAGGCCTTGAACTAGAAATCCGCATCCGATTCCGAACAGAGGGACTCAGCTGAGTCTAGATCTAGATTCTAAATAAATAAATAATTCACGCGCCTGATGAAATGCTTTTTACCAACATTAATATTACAGCCCAACCTATAATAGGGTTTGACACAATAGAATTGGAATATGAAGCCTCCATTGAGGTCTATAATGATCTATATAAATCTAGATCTAGATCTAGATTCTATTAGAGCAAGTGAGTCGGACTTGAATGAATCAACACGATCTGAACAATTGAATTAGTCAACAAAACGAAATTCAAAATGGCCGCTCGAGCACGAAACTGAAAGTAGATAATTTAGGTCGTCGTCCTTTTTCGTATTCGCATTTCTACTCAGGTTCCGACAATTATGTCGGAAACGCCGACGTCGGCAGTCGGTACGATAACGAAAGTGCCGACAAGGCCGACGGGAGAAAAAGGGGTCGCTGGCAGTCGGCCAGGCCTCGCACTTCGCACATTGACTGATACAGGTGGGCCTAGCGATATCATCGGCCGGCTCGCGGGTCGGGTCGTGATTGTCGGATTTCAAACGATTGTCGGCAAACATGCAGGTCTAGTTAAGTCTTGTGTGTGATCCTCGACTCCACTTCGGTCAAAGTATCATTAGACCTAGCCGTAGATCTAGCCTCTGGTAGCTTTAGTGGTGATCCCTTGCCAATTCCACTATCGTCAAGATCATTATCGATGTTATGCGGAACATTGCAATCGTCTTCAACGGTCATATTTATCTATATATCCGACTGGAGATCATTATTGGGGTCTGGTTCAGGATCAAAAATGTCAAAATTTTGCGGCCTGAAGGGCCTGGCAGCGAAAAGTGACCAATTTTTCTTAAAAACTCGCAAAATTTCCAAACTTTCGGTGTAGAACTGCTCTCATGACATTATCGGTACTTTCTGCTCGCGACAGAGTCATCTGGAGTTACATCCCCTGTTTCTAGCACTGGGAATTAAACGATAAAGTCGACCAGCGATATAGGAAAATATGGCGTCAGCGGTTACCAGCGGTATAGGGTTTTAAGGGTTAAACCGCCTCTTGACTTTGTCTAGTCTTCAAGCAAATGACCACGTCAACAGCAACCGCTGTCAAGGAGTCAGAGGAACTTTTTGTGCTGAGCAGTGAACCCACCGATGATGGACTATCCCATTCTTGTCAGTTACATAAAAATGTGCCAACATGGTAGAAACTGTCATGATAAGCTAAACAAGATAAGGGAAAATTGTTTAGTGTGTGATGACGATGACGATGAAAACCCAATCTTGTTGCTACATCACATTATTTAGACAACCTAAGGCCTGGATAGAGAAAACACCTTGGGCGACCCAAAATAGGAATGGAAAAATCTGCCTATCAAAGATTTTTTAAATTATCAATTACTCTTGCACATCAAGCAAGAACTGTAAAGAGCATTTACATTTAAAGACAAAGGACAATCATTCACCATCACAAGTGCTGTACTTTAAAAAAAATCTTGATAAAGACACTGACCTTTATTTCCTCTTCCTTTTCTCGTTCTTTCAACTTTATTCTCTTCCTTTCCTCCCTGAAAGTAAACAAGTTACAATAGATGAAACGGACCGGCGTGCAACTCACTACCTGTCTGTCCTCATTCAGCAGCCAGAGAAACGGTGTTATGTAATGTTTAAGTAGTAAAAATTTTCTCCTCTCCTCAGCTACCTTGGGGCAGTATTCTTCAAAGATTTCTCAAAGGAGTGCATTGGATTATGCTATTAAAGGTGCTAATCATTATAATTTTTTTTTAAAAGCATTTTTTTTTGCATTTGCCATAGAAATATTCCCTACAAGATAAAATAATGGCCATTTCAAAGGCAAAGCACTTAGAGACTCTTAAGGTTCGGATCGACTCAAGGCGATAAAGAGCAAGTCTGGTATGCAGTCAGGGCCAGATTAAAAAAAAAAACCCCTGGACAATGAAAAAGCGGCAACTCTGAAGGTGGCACTTGGCAATCTGAATTGTATGGGGCCCTACGCTTTAGAAGGGAAACGCAGCACTCTTGTTAAAAATATATGTTGCACTACTGGAGAACATCCAGTCAGCTACCAGTGTGCCAGAGTGGGGAAAACTCATTGGAAGAAAAAGATTGTTAGACTTATTTCTCAGCAAAGGTTTCATCTTTGTATCAGTCTTCAGAAGACCATTTTCTCAATTTCTTCCTTTTTACAGATTGAAAGAACAGACAAATTCCTGCCCAAAGAATTAATTCCTTACTGTTTTTTCTTGAAAGTTTTCTCATACGATGGGCGAACAGCCAGGTCTTCATCTTCTGGTTCCTCAGGAATATCACAGCGACTGGAAATATACAGAGGTTCTGAGGACTCCACTAACAATATTACATGTTTGGGTAACAGTAGGTTCCCCCTCCCTTCCCCCCCCCCCCATATTAGGGTAACATTAAACTTTGTCCCCCTCCCCTGAAATACATTAAGAGTTTTTCTTGCGCATGACATCATGGTAAGCTAAATGTGGGCTTACAGAGGGTGGGGACCATAGATGAGCATAATAGGTCAAGTAAGTTCTGAAAGGGGGGGCTCAAAGGGACTTTTCCCCTCTTTTAGACAAGTTTAGTAGTTGTATTTGTTATTGATCCAGTTCAAACTTCATTCAGGAGAAGAAAGGCTTTATAATAATGAAAAGCGCGCCCATATAATCTGACGCAGTTGCGAGTGCTGTAAAACACAAAAACAAAAATGATGAATTAGAAATGCATAACTTTAAGCCTTTCCTACGAAAAAGTTGTAATCTAACTAAAAACAAGTTTAGTGTTTGTGTTTTCCTTAAAAGCAGTGCACACACTCATAAGTACATAACAAAAGAAAGAAAAGGCCTCATTATTTAGAAGCCCAACAACACCACCTGTTTTGCAATGGTAACTCTGTTTTGTTTTGGTAAGTGGTATAGGGCGCTCGCAACTGCATAAAGTCATTCGAGTGCGTGGGACATATCAAACATTTTTAGCTTGGAAGGAATGAATTTTGAATTTTGCCTGGGTGGCGACTGAAGCCTACTCTTATCGATTTTGGACCACCAAGGGACCTTTAACGGGCGCAAATTGCCCAAGGGATTTTCGAGATTTTTCGCCCTTATTCAGACAAAGTTAGGTGTTAGATCTTACTTATCCTTAGATCAGGTGTGTGGCTGAAAGACAGCAGTAAGAAAGAGCCAAGATGTAACAATAGAGAGGCCGCAGAAAGAGTCAGGAGCCCAGAGGAAAGAGGCAAAGTGGGGGTGGGGGGTGATGGCAGAAAGTGGAGATGAAAGCAGATGACAGAAAATGATAAGAGAGTAGGAAAGGAGGTGAAAGGAGAACATTTAAGAGAAAACAAATTTCAGTCGCTATCCGGTTTCAAACCCAGGACCTATTGAATGAAAGGTGAACACCAGAACCTCTAGACCACGAGAGCCCACCAATGGTGACTGCAAGCATGAACAATCACTTTCACACAATTCATCCATACATGTCCAGACATACTGTTGTTGTAGAAAAGGCAAGACCCTTGTCAAACCACTCTACTAATCGAATGGTAGCAGTTTTTCTCTCTTACTCACACACATACATTTACTCATACACACAAACACACTACACACATGCTTGCACACACAAGAAAAGCTACTGATCTAAAGAGAGACTCTCACTTGTGAGTGGCATCGGGATTCAACCTGCAGTACCACATGTCAGGAAGAGAATCGCCGTCAACACTGTCTGGCAAACGACGCCACTTCAGGCACATGTCACACTGGGCCCATAGCCAGTCAGGGTGGGACCTGAAACAAAAAACCCACCACAGCAATCAAACAATGGAGGAGGGAACGGGGGGAGTGTTGATTTGACAGTTCTGGTTTTTTAAAAAATCTCCCAATTGCCAGTTTTAGATAATCCCTTTTTAGTTTTAGTAGAGGTTTTACGGCGCTAGCAACGGCATAAGGTCATATGAGCGCCAGAAGATTAGAGGAGTTACAAGAGAGTAACAAACATAAAAAAAGAAGGGGGGAGAAAAGGACGATAGATGTTTCATGGGAAAGAAGAAGCAAACCACACCAGAGCACCCGCCAACCACCCACTTAGATAATCCCTGCTCATCAATGCTAGCCCTAGATGAGTGGAGTGCAGCATCCCAGAGGACAAACAGAGATAATTCACTGGATGAAACTTCCTTATGGAGGAATTAAACTGATCTAACTTCTGCACAATGATGAAAACCCTAGCCACGACAGCAGTCGTTGGAAGGCGGGGGGGGGGGGGGGGGGGGGGGGGGGAAAGGGGTTTTGTTGGGGGAGTGAGGGAGGGAGGGGTGCACTCCATTAAAGAGATTGTCCAAAGGAGCAGCCATTGTGGGGCTGCTGAGCCTCTCCCTTGTCACTCAACAGAACCACAACCCTACAATTCACCTATACAGCACCCACAGCTTTTACAAACTCCCAGTGTCAAACTATACTGAAACAAGAGAGAGATCCTTATAACCTTTCATACCTTAGAAGGCCTTATTTATGGATACTGTGTCTCCTTTGGTAAAAGGCTGTTTGAACCCCCCCCCCCTCCCCATGTTAAAATAAGTTAAAAGAGTCTTGTGAACATGATGTCATGATAACTCATACATGGCCCAACAGAGAGTGATGACCCCAATTTGCACGGTAGGTCAAGTACGTTCCAAACGAAGGACTCAAGTAGACTTTTACGTTACTTTCAGAACCTCCATTTGTGTTTGGTTACTTTCAATGGAATCCTTATTGCTGATAATATGCCCTCATGTTGTGAGTAAAATACTTTTTTTTATATAAAACATTGTAGATCCTGACTATGGAGACCAAGATCTCCTGCAACTATTAATTTTGTCTGTTTACAAAGCAATTACTACAGCCACATGACCTTCACGATGAGATATCAGCTGTTATCTACATGTACTGGTAGCACTGTACAAAAAGAACAAGAAACTTTCATAACTGTTATTGCTAAAAATTTCTACAAAAGCAGAAGTAAACACTCTATTTACAGCATTTATGACACTAAACTTTACAAACAAGAAAACATGCAACTTCACTCTCACCTCTGTGTAATTGGTTCAGCATTCGAGTCACCTCCCTTCTTTTCATTCCAGTAGTCATTCAACTTGTTGCCAAAGTTGAGCATTACAGAACTGAAACAAAGAGCACACAAAAACACTTCTATTAATTATAAAAACAGACAAGACAGTGGACATTGTGGGAAGACAATTTCTGCTAATTTTCCTCACTGCACCCACGTGTGAATGGATACCTGGCCATGGACAGTGAATTATCTGGTCAATGTGTCAGTGTTTTAGTGTCTGTAAAATGGCAGCTTGTACTGCATGCTTCTTTGGACGTTGAGATTATTTCAGAATGAAATCAGGTCTCCTGGGGTAATAATATAGATTGTAAACCACATAAGCTTGCAGTTCGGCATGAATTTTTGCTCTATACAAATGCTACTTATTATCATCATCACTGACAGGTGAATGGGAGAACAGGTGTAAAAGGAGAACAGGTATAAAAGTAAATTTTGACACCCTCCCGGAGGTTACAGGTGTCACAGAGTAACAAAGACAAAAAAATTAGGAGAGATAAGGACGATAGACGGAGAAAAACATACCAGAGCACTCCCCCAACCACTCATGATAACTTACTTGAACTTCTCATCTTTGTTAAAATCTTGTTTGTTGTGAATTGGTTGCAGGAAATCTACTTGTGCCACACCAACAACACCGATGCCCAAGTCATTTGCCTGAAATTAGGAAAGTGTCATGAATAGTTGGGCCCACTAGTAATGAATTGAACAGATTGCTCTCATTAGATTTGAAAACATCAAAATAGATTGATATTATGATTCAGTTGTTGTTTCACCAAATCCACTAAGTTTTTAAAATAGAATCTTAAGAATACAGATGACTCGAAGGTAAATTTTTTCCCTCAACCCCCATAAATAAAATCAGGGTTGTTTCCTATCTGACCACTAAATAAAAAAAAAAAAAGACTTTTATCTGTAGATAAGGAGCAGTACTGTGGAAATTTTTAAAATTAAAACAAACAACAACAACCCCATAACAACTAAGAGGGAAGGCCGTACTGCAAGTGAAATTTAGAAGAGAGGAACACATTTTCACTAACTGCATGGTTTTCAACAAAATGAATATTGAAGAAAATAGTAAATGATACGATAAAAATTGTTGTTTCACGCATGGTTAGACGAAGCTAAGACATCCTCCACTCCTGAGCGAAATAATGCCCGGAGTCATAGGAAATCTGTTCAAACATTTGAGTACACCAATATCATGCAGCGACATGCAAACATAATCCAATGTACTATGAAGAATACGATAGGATGAGAATTGCATCTTCTGATATTTTGTATGGCAGACAACCATTCTCTCTCTAAGTACCAGTTTGGGATGGTCTTATTTTACTGTACCTAATCAGTCACAGAAATGCATCCTTAGCTTTCTCCATAACTACAAGCTCCCCTCAGAGATGCCAACCACAGAAAACCGAAAGGAGTATTGGGAAATATGAAAATGTGTATTTTCAGGGAAAATGTGTATTCCCCACGACCGACCGACCAACCAGCAATAGTAAAATGTTCACGGTGTCCAGCAATATTTCCTGAAAAAAAATTACTAGCTCACCAGCTCGAAAAAAGGAGTACACACGCGTACAAATGTATTCAGTCAACAACATGTCAGGGTTCAATGTCGTACTCTTGTTTGACTTAGGTATTTCAGTCTATTATATAATATTTTCCTCTCATTATTATTATTATATAAAAAATAAATCCTGCTTTGAGAGTTCGGAATGGCCTTGCACAAGAATTTCGACTATCAAGAACCAGTCTGGGTGTCATGATTCATATTATGAACTGACAGACTCAAATTATTGCTCAAACTCTGAGAAAAGCAATAACTTGAATGGCTCAAGTAGACCCATGCACTGTGACAGTTGTAACAACTGTGGAAGGGCAAGATGCAGTGACACTGAAAATCTGCCAGTCTTGAACAGAAAGCTACAACATACACTATAGGTATAATTTACTATCACCCATCCAAGTAGGTATAATTTACTACATATATCACCCATCCAATGAAACGCGAACACTATTTCAATAACACAGACTTGCAAAGTATGAGGGGTCCCGATTTCGCACACGGCCTGCACCAACGCGCGCTTTGCAGAAAGCTCTAATCAAAGTTCTGAAATGTGCTTCCAACCTCTGGTGTTGCCTTAACCCCCCGGGTATTCTTAAACCCCCCCAAAAAATCAATAACCTCCTCCCCTATTCCGTAGTCATATACTTCGCAACGCCGTTACTCCCGCCAAAGACGATCTTTCCTCACACAATGCCGCATTTATTTGTGATGTGATTGCTCCTAGGTTCAGTGAACGGTCACGATGGCGAGCCAGACAATCTAAAAATCGGACGACGCTTTTATTTTCTTTTCTTCTTTTTTTCCACAAGTGACAGCACTGCGACGAGTCTGAGTACTTATTACATTTTATTTGCACGCCGACATTGCGTTTATACTGCACAACCTGCATGCCACAAATGTTGCGTTATCAAACAACTGCTGGCAAACTTCTCGGTGGTAACGAAAGCAGATCTTGATTTTCCTGATCGAGCCTCGGTGTCACATATGCTTCCGCCTGCCGCCATAGCTGCCTATTCGCGTGAAAGTGAAACGTACTCTCCGGACGGGGAAAAGCTGAATGAATATAATATCACGATCGCGACCGGCAAAAATGAACTTACTGACCACATCGGACTTGCTTTTCAAAAATTCCAGTTCTGCTAAACTGTTACTATTTTGACAAAAGATAGGACTTGAGATAATTAGGTTTACTCGCCCAAGCCCAAGCTGAATCTCGTAGTTTTCGCATTCCAGGATGCGTATTTTTTCATGAAAAGTCGTATTCGTGTATTTTTGGCAAAAAATCGCACTAAAGTATGTAAAATCGTACTGGTTGGCATCTCTGTCCTCTTCCAAAAAAACAAACACATGCAATGCTGAAGTTCTGATTGGATATGTACTTACTTGCTTTTGAAAGCCCACTTTTTCAAAAGCTTTAATGAGTCTGTTCCTGTGGTACAGCATCATCCCATAGTCTTCTGATTTATCCTTCTCACAGGTAAATCCAAAAATGATTTTCACGGGTCGAGACTGAAAGAAAATGTGCAGTCAGATAAAATTGCTTTGAGGATTAATGGTACTACTAGTCTAAGCAAACAATTGAACATGGAATGAGGAATACATTTAGAAAAAACAAATAATGAGCTAGTAGTACGCTTTACAGAGAACAAACTTTCATATTTTCCTGAAATTTTTAAGGACCTACTATGAGCTTTATGTCCATAATCAGACCTGCAACTTGCTATAATTCATATATATGTTTCTGTGACTCAAGCATCACATTCTACTGAATTATAAAATAGATACAAGCAATAGCTACTAATATTGAGGATCTCGAATGTGAACAATTCATGTCTAAAATGTGTGCCTTGATAGAGAGAGACCGCCTTTTGATTTGGTAAGGTGTTAATTACTTAGCATCTTGTCATAGGCTGTTCTTCACTAAAATATCACATTATCTCACCAGCCAAGTAGGTTTATAAGCATCAATCTCTGTATGTGACAAAGACTTTGAGATCATTTTGGTTTTCACCCTCATGCCACGGATGGTGATCTTCATTCGCGGCTTTAAGAATAGAACACTGCAATACTCCTGAAAAAAAGCAAAAATGGACAAATTTTAAAACATGTTCTAAAATCTACAGTCACATTCAATCAAGACACATCATAAAAAGAGGATACAATGAGACAAATGTAACCCAAAGAACTCAATATGAAAGTTATTCTAAAAGAGGAACAGTTAAAAAAAAATTAGTTTGATATATATATATGAGAAGCACAATGACACAATAGTCTTTTAGTGTTGTGAAAAAACAAAACAGATGCAAGAAAACAAAAGAGACACAGTAAAGAAAAATAGGATGTACCAAGGTCGCCACGAGTGTTAGTTACAACAACAAAAACCCCCCCAAAAAAACAGTAAAAAGAGGATAATAGAACACCAAAAATAATAAGGGAGCCACTCAAAAGAGAGCAATAGAATTTCGTTAAGGAAGAGCACATTTTTATGATCGAAGTGAAGCTACGGCACCTTTTTCTCCCAAATCGGCTCAGACAACGATCACAAAGAAAACAGAAAACAGGTATGAATCTCACTAACTGCTGCGAACCTGCGATTATGGGGGTCTGTAATGAATTTGTAATGATAAAGTAGTGTTCATAATACTTTAATAGCTCAGTGAACTTAGCTAAATCACTTCCTTTCCCATTCTTCAGGCCAAATGACAATTTCTATAAGGACTAACTTCTTATTTACAAAAGGTAAACAATTTAAAAAGGAAGTTCAGGTTTCTTTTCGAGACATCCTTTTGTGCTTATTGGGTGGTAAAAAAGACCCCTATACTGTACCCATTATTTTTGATACACAGACGAAATTTCAAATACAAAACTGAATAAAGCAGTAAAAATGAGCTAGCCAAGTGTAAAGATTTCCGTGTAACAAACCCTTAGCGAACGCTTGTACTCTGACGTCTGCATCTGGATAGGTCTGTGGTATACCGAAGTCAAGTCTACTTCATGAGCTTCTGGACATCTGATATCGTGAAGGTCACTAGAAAAGTCCAGTTCATAGGTGCGGTCTTGATGCCTGAACATAGAAATACACCTTTTCCAGATCAGGTATAAAGATAAAGAGTTCAAATGCATCAATGAAAGTTTAAATATCAAAATTGTCAAATTAAATCAGCATAAGAGTTAAAAATTCATAATGGAAAATGTAAATATGCAAGCTCAAATGTAATCATAGGACAGCTCAAATGTAAACACTAGGTAAATCAAATTCATCATTGTCCATTCAAATGCAGCATAGGAAAGTTCAAATTCAACAATACGAAAACTATTAAGCTATGATGTAACTATTGTGTCTGTGTCAAGGGAAGCTACTCTGTCTCTTAGCAACGTTTGTTGTTTACTGTCAGCATCTCTCACCTTCAATACTTGCTGTCTGCTATCTAGATCTAGATCTAACCGTAATTTCATTTTGTTAAACCAAAACAGTTTGAAACAATCAGTCGTATTTAACAAAGCTCAAATGAAAATCACAGCAACATAATTAAATAATACTAAGCACATACCTAACGAAAATGTTTTAAAAGGAGTCATTCTAGAGGGTAAACAGAGAATATATACAAAGCCTTTCTGTGAGGTGACGATTATATGCTAATCAGTGGCAATTCAACCGAAATACTGCATACAGTACCATATGCCAAGCCATCGAAACTGAATGCTTTGTAAAAAAAAAAAATTAAAGTGGGAAGAGGTTTGACAAAGTAACCACAGGTTTTTGAATGGGTGCCAGAAGCACCCCATATTACTTGATGAAATGTTGCGGCTACTTCGAACAAATGCTTTTTGAGAGAGAGAGAGAGAGAGAGAGAGAGAGAGAGAGAGAGAGAGAGGGAGGGAGGGAGAGAGAGAGAGAGAGGGAGAGAGAGAGAGAGAGAGAGAGAGAGAGGGAGGGAGGGGAGGGAGGGAGGGAGGGAGGGAGGGAGGGAGAGAGAGAGAGAGAGAGAGAGAGAGAGAGAGAGAGAGAGAGAGAGAGAGAGAGAGAGAGAGAGAGAGAGAGGGAGGGAGGGAGGGAGGGAGGGAGGAAGGGAGAGTGAGAGAGAGAAAGAGAAATAGAGATATATACAGAGATACAAAGAGAGAGAGACAGAGATACAGAGAAAGGCAAAGAAAGAGTTACAGGGACATTACGCTGGTGTACCCAGAGTCACATAGAAAGAATGACATATTGTATTTTAAATCTATATGTGTTGAATTTGAACAGACAATGGTGAATTTGAACTCTCTATCGTTACATTTCATGGTGCTATTTCGATGTTTGAGCTTTCTAGTGTTACATGTGCTTTCTCTAATTCAGTGTTTGAACTTTCTGTGTGGAATTTGATTTGACTAAATTGAATAAATTCTGCTCTTTCATTTGAATTGTCTTAATTGAAATTTAGTTTGGAAAAGGTGTATATATCATTTACCTTGGTCATCCAATAGAATATGAAATGTAACAAGTCCAAATCAGGCCAAAGAGCTTAAAAACTACACTCTTAAAGAGCACTGCTCAGAACTAACATCTTTGAACGTTTTCGAAAAGCAAACAGGCATCAAAAGAAAAAAGGGTAAATGGGCGTGTAAAAATTCACCAAAGGAAGCTATTCATAAAATACTTTTTAACAACCGTAGCCTCATTTGAATTGTTAGCACAAGACATTTGCAACATACTTCTTCAAATTGTATATGTAGATCTTAGTTCCTGTCTTAGACCCCTCCAGACTCCTGAGCTGTGTTTTCAGATCAGCTTCAGAGTTGAAAATAGAGTATTCCAAGATAGCGTTGAGGTTGTTCCTTGATTCTTGACTCTTGACTCTCTCTAGTACTATTGGTTAAGGAAAAACTAGCATCACATTGTAAACGAGAGTGTCAGTTTAAACATGAAATAAAATGTGTTCCGAAAAGAATGACAAAAATACTCCACATCCTTAATCCTACTATTCGTTTTCATGTGTGTAAAGGATATGTCTTGGCAGTCTGTACGTGAGGATGGGTACTTGAACAGAATCTGCCCGTATTGCCGCGAGATACGTCTGTGACAAAAACCCCACACTGGCACTCTCCCGACAACGAGTGAACACCAGGGCGTCTTTGCCAATCCTCATTGAGCCGGACTTGAAGCCATTTCCATAATGGCCAATAGGCATGTGTGACCCAGTCCTTTCATAGACATCTTTTTCACAAAAGCCAAAGCTGAAACAGAGCAGTTATGCAACATAATGGGTCTTTCATCAAAATCAGGACTTGTCACAGAGAACAAAGGAGAATATGTTGTAACCTGAAAGCTAAAGTTGAAGATAGTTTAGGGAACTTTTCCTTTTGTTCCTTTTCAGGCACGAAAAGTAGTCTACCTACTTCATACTAAGAATGAGGACAGGTTCTGAGATTGATTACAGTAACATTCTGTCTCTCATTTGCCCTCCAATCTCAGAGGCCTTGTACTTAAAACAGTTAAATTTTATATTTCAAGTTTAACGTACTGGCGCTACGACGGTCACTGGTTGATGTTCTATATTTTGGCCTGTAGTAGGAAGGAACTGATCAAAGTGCAAGGACGGTAAATGTTTCCAATCACTAGTCAACCAGACAAAATTTTCAAGGGGGAACAGAAGACTGGGATTCAACATTAAACTTAAAATATATTTGAACCTGTCCAAGATGACCACCCAAAGTTGAGGAGAAAAGTACTTATCTCAGATAGGTGGTTCTCGTGAACATGCGTCATTGTAATATGTAGTAGAAATATGTACAAGGGGTGGAAGTAGGAAGCAGTTGTCTGTACAGGAAATTGTCTTTGGACAGGTGGTTGTTACATTAGGCAGTCCAGTGAACGTAAACGCTTCAGGAGACTTTACTTGAAAGCTGATCATGCATTTTGTGGTATTTTTTTACTTTCCCTCCCATCTCACACTTAGCAATTAGTTGTCCATTTTCTACTGAATATTGATGCGCTGAGCACGAATATCAACTTCATTTCAAGTCACAAATTAATAGTTTTTGAAATATTTGATTGTTCTTAATAGAGATAGACGTGCTTTGGACCAATCGGGGGTTCCAGGGGGCCTGCTCCCCTGGAGTAAAAGACCATCTGGGGGGTTACAGGGGGGCAGCCTGTTTTAACCCATAATTTAATATTTTACAGTTAGATTTGAAATTTTCTTGTAAATAAATTATTTGCGCCAGTTGTAGTGGCTTTATGTGTGATCTACAGCAAACAGTACTGCAGTTTGACCCCCGAAGCAGTGCATCTGTGTGCGGGAGTGAAAGTAAAAATATACCCATTTTGCTACAGTTACTTTTTATAATACAGTCAAACCTGTGTAAGACGGCCACCCATTGTCACGGAGAAAAGTGGCCGTATAAGACAGGTGGCCGTCTTAGGCAGGACTGATCAAGATGAAGAAAACAAACCATTCCCATCTGAGTTCCCAATCGAAAATAGCCGCATTGTTGTTGTTGTTGTTGTTGGTTTGTATTTTGTTTGTAATTTTTACTTTGTTGCTGTTCTTGCACAAGGGTGACAATAAAACGAAATGTGTCAGACGAGGAAGATCGAGTGCTATGTTACAACAAACACATGGGTCGCCACCACCCGGAGAACGAGAGACGCTTCTGTCACAAGTTCATGTTGACGTCCTTTGTTACTTTGTTACAGACTGGGTAAACAGTGACCACTCCTCTCACTTACGATTTGTGTATAAGTTCTGGGTGGGGCTTATGGGTTATGAGGGAATCACACGCTTACCTCACCAGCAGCTGAAAATTGGTAGCTATTGGTCAACAGTGGGAGGGGCCTACGCAACTTGATCGGTTGGAGGGACTACCTAACAACAACGACAGGTGATTCAATTATAACGGCTCGCTCACAACGCCAGACCCCAATGGACAATTTATGACAAAACGTAATGGAGTCACTAAGGTGGCCGTCTAAGACAGGTGTTATTGCTTAGTGTGATAGGGGTTGTGTGTTAAAATGTGGCTGCGGCTGCGTCGAACAGGTGCCCGTTTTACACAGATAAATTATATAGAAAAAACACAAGGGGGGAAACGGAAAGTGGCCGTTTGTACAGGTGGCCGTCATATAGAGGTGGCCATTGGGGCAGGTTTGACTGTATTTAAATTAATTTATGCACAAAGCCATAGTTGCTTGCAGCAATAGGTACACCCCCAAAACACAAGAAACCCATGTTTGCCTTCCAGGCCCAGCTTCGTCACACGCTGCCCTTGCTCATTT